CTCTCTCTCTACCTGATGGCCTCTTCCTCTCGGCTGACATAGTTCTTGGTGAACTTCACCTTGTAGTCCTGCCACTCCTGCTCAAGGTCAAGGGCACAGGTCAAGGCCACGAGGGCAAAGGTCAGGAAAAGCTTGAGCATTGTGAGACTTGGGCGCTGGTAGAATCGGAATAGAGGTTGGGGGAAATTTGTCACTTTTATAATATTGTTATCATCATTGTTATAGTTATTATCACTGGGGTTTTTTAATAGTTATTATGAGGCAGGGGTAGGCCCAGAACAACATACTTAGGTAACCTAAACAAATGGGTAACAGGGAAAGATCAGGGAAACGTAGCTTTTTTGAGAGCATCCGAGCAAAGGAATGAATGGAGAACCATGATCGCCGATGTCTGTCGCAGATCTGGCACTGGATGATGATGATGATTATGATGATAATGATTATGATGATGATGATTATGATGATGATGATTATGATTCTTATACTTTTTTAAATTTTATTGATGTTCTCAGTGTTACTGTAATTATCATGGTCGTTTTTGTAGTCGTTTGTATTGTTAATGTCTGTATTATCGTTATTTTCATCGACACCGTTATTTTCTAAACTGTCATTGTCATTTTATTCTCATTGTCGTTGTTATTGTGATGGTCACTTTTTTGTAATTGTCATTGTCATTATCATTGTCATTCCTCGTTTTATCACTGTCATTCCTCGTTTTATCACTGTCATTTCTCGTTTTATCACTGTCATTTCTCGTTTTATCATTGTCACTTCTCGTTTTATCATTGTCATTTCTCGTTTTATCATTGTCATTTCTCGTTTTATCACTGTCATTTTTCGTTTTATCATTGTCAATGTCATTATTGTAAGATGTCACACCGAAACAACGAAAGATGGAAGCAATATCATCACCCTTCTACAACTGTTGTTATTGTCATTGCTATTGTCACTATCACTATCATCGTGATTTTCATTATTACTGTTAATATCATTGACATGTTCTTTGTCATAGTTACTATCATTATCATTAGCATTGTCATTGTCACTTTTGTTATTAATATTATCATTGTCAAAGTCAATGTAACTGTTACTCTTATTGTCATTTTATAATCACTGTCGTTGTCGTTGTCGCTGTTATTGTCATTTGATTTGTTATTCGTATTGTCCTTTTTATAGTCATTTTTACAGCCCTCTCTGTGCAAGGAGTAACAATGTAACAAAATACAAAGTAAAAATGAAACAATGTAACAATGTAACAAAATAACAATGATTAAATGAAACAAAGTAACAAAGTAACAAAGTAACAATGTAACAATGAAATGATGAAACGATGAAACAAAAGAAACAATGAATCGATGAAACGATGAAACAAAGTAACAATGAATCGATGAAGCGATGATGAAATAATGTAACAATGTAACAATGAAAGATGAAAGCAGTTGCCTCTCCCTTCTCCAAGTTTCGTCATTGTCATTGTCATCGACACTCACTGTCATTATTTTTATATTCATTTTGTCAGTTTCATAATTAGTGTCGTTGTCGTTAACACAATTGCTAAGTGCAACACTGAAATAACAAAAGATGGAAACAATATTACTCTTACCGTCCTACCTAAAACTGTCCCCGTCGTTTTATGCAAAACAAATTCTGAAATTATGCAAACTGAGCCAAAAAATGTGAAATTATGCGATTCTGTTAATTTTAACAAAGAATGATAGAGGAAAATAGTTAGAAATTATGCAAAAAAATATCAAATTTTGCTAAATTATGCGGGGTGCATAAAACCACGGGGGACAGCTAAAAGCTGGCGATTTGTCGGAACAAAACAGGCTCAGAGAGCATCTCCACCACTACAAGTTACTTAAGAGGTAGAAGCTTGCCGATTAACATCCATCTCCAGTGGCACATGTACGACCTTACTGTGTTGCAAATGCCGTAAAACTCCTACTGAAACCAAACATCTCCAACAGGACAGGGCCAAGAAAAGGCGGATGATACTTTAGTTTCGAACCAAAGCCATCCGCACCGTAGCCCAGCATAGCGTTGACTGGGCAAACAACAAAGATGGCGATCTGGCTAAATTTGTATTTTTGTGTTCGTTTTATGTGAGAAAAGCCATAAAAAGTTATTCCCCCCTTTATAGCATTTCTTCATTGATTCATCGTGGAGTCCGCTTAAAGTGAACACTTTGGGACCAGAAGAAGGTGTTCACTTTATCCGAGGTTCGGTTTAACCATGTTGGTAGGGTGGAAGCCTAGAAACAGTAGCTACGCGCAGTGGTGGGTCTAGGGTGGAGGTGTGGTGGGGAGGACAACACAGCGGGCGAGCCTAGACTAGAGCTCTTTCTTTCTGATTGAGACTGCAGTTGCCGACGCCGAGCAGGGACTGTCTGTCGATGCCCGAGGCAATACATTTTCACAGCATGGCGACAATGACACGGTCGGTCTGTTTTTCGCTTTCACTTATATTTTGGGCGTTCATTTTTTCCGATTTAATTTCCCCATTAAACAGGTTCATTTTATCCCCAAAAAATTTTACTTAAACAAATAGCGTTTTAATCGGGACCACAGAATATCGTTCACTTTAACCGAGTGTTCAAATAAAGTGTGTTTGCTTTAGGCGGACTCCCTTATGTTATATTTATAGACAGAACTCGTTCCTAAATCATACATTTATTCGTTCTTTACGCCGATGCAAGTGTCATTGTCGGTGCAAAAATTGTCTCTTCCTGGTTATATTTGTTTTCTACTT